AATCCCGTATTTTACTTAGTCCCAAGTCTACTGAATTTTTGCAGTCATCTATTCTAGGACTATGAATTAATTTTGAGGGATTTTTTTTTGTAAATTCAAGTCTTTATTGTGAAAAATTATATACTTTATTTTTCCATTTTTTCCCCATCATTCTAGCAGCATACGGATTTCGCATTGAAAGAACAATTGATCTTTTGATTCTGTCCACCAATCGATCCAATTGAAAGCGCTGCTTAGCCAGGCCGTGTTCCATGGATCGGAACAAGTAGTAATCCAATGGATCAATATCTGGTGAATATGGCGGGTGGGGTAAAACATCCCATTTCAACGTTTCTAAGTATTTTTTGACTTCATGAACAACATGTGGTTGAGTGTTGTCATGTTGAAAAATTGCTTATTCGCGCCTTTGCTCGAATTGCTGCCGTTTTTCCTTCAATGCACGGCTCAAACGCATTAGTTGTTTTCGGTGGCCTTCATCAGTGATGGTTTCATTCGGTTTAAGCGGCTCATGGTACGCAACACCAAGCTGGTAAGTAAGTAAGTTTATTCAAAGCAGAATTCAACAAAGCAAAAAACATTTCTAAAATGTAAATTTAATAAAATATTAAATGAATTTGGACAATACACCTAAGTTATACAATAACTTGTGCTGTGTTATTGTCCAATTACAAAGGAAAAATAAAGAAAAAAAAAACAATACTGTACATGAATATAGAAAAATAAATATTTATATAAAGCAATGTATTTTAAACAAAACAGCTGAGTCCAGCGGAGTCCAGTGAGGTGGAAGAACAAAATACTTATAAATTTGTTATATTAGATAAAATTAAAACGTCCAAAACAATAGAGACAATTTTTACTATTTAAATATATCCTCAATTGAAATATGATTTTCTCTTATGAGAGTTTTTATTGTCTTTTTGAATTTATATATACTACTAATATTTTTTACATCTACTTGCAATTTATTAAACATTTTCGGTCCATAAAAAAATACAAAATGTTGGGTATGAGATTTACCATAAAATGGTACTTGAACAGAGACTGTTCAGTACGCAATCTAGTGCAATAATTGTGACTGATGGGAGCAATATGAGACTTATGAGCCCATAATATGGAATGTTATGCAAATAATTTTCTTATATTGAATATATTTAATTCCTTATACAGTAGTTCTGTAGAATATCTAAAATCTTTTTTGAAAATAATTTTTAGTAACGTATTTTGAACGACTTGCAAATTTAGTAACTTGTTGTCATACAGACCACCCCATATCAAAATACAATACCCCAGTAATGACTGGGCCAGAGCATCATAAACTACATGTAATAATTTAGTATTAAGAACATCTTTAATTTGGTAGAATGCATATATTAAACTTCTAAGCCTTTTTGTAAGATACTGCACATGAAAATCCCAACGTAGATGCTGATCAACTACCACTCCTAAATATTTAATTTTATTTACTTTTTCTAAACTTTTACATTTACAGCTGTTTACATCATTGCAATTATTTTTATGGATTTTTATAAGAGAAAATTCCGGCTGATCCGCTTCAGTAATAGTAAAAGTTAAAAATTTTGATTTCTTTTCGTTAGGACTAAGAAGGTTCTCGTTCAAACAATACCGGAGATATTTCATAGAATGCTCCGCCCACTCCTGGCCACTGCTATCCAAAAATGCCAGGTTATTTATATATATTAAAAATAAAACAGGACCCAATATTGTACCCTGAGGAATACCCCTATTGACCAAAAGTGAATCGCTTAATGTTTTATTTATTTTTACTTTTTGTTTTCTATCAGACAGATAACTCCTAAATCATTCAAGTGCAACACCCCTTACATTCAAACCAGACAGTTTTTCGAAAAGTAACAAATGATCCACGGTGTCAAATGCCTTAGCCAGGTCCAGAAATATATCAAGACATTTTTTATTTTTATCTAAAGAATGAACTATATTGTTAATGAACTCCAGAACAGCATCTTCAGTACTAAGTTTATTTCTGAAACCGTATTGACTGTTTGATAAAATTTTAAATTTTTCTAGATACCCAATAAAACGAAATTGTAAAGATTTTGCAAATATTTTGGCAATCTTATTAATTACAGATATAGGTCTATAATTTGTAACAAGTTCTTTAGATCCAGGCTTATAAATTGGAGTAGTTATAGATTCTTTCCAGAGAGAGGGTATCTGCCCATGTAAAAAACAGAGATTGATCAGATGAGCTAGTGGCTTAAGCAAAAATTTGTGAATAATTTTTAAAATAATTACTGATATGCCATCAGGGCCTGACGCTGTGTTATTTTTTAAACTACCAACATAGGATATAATTTCCTTTTCGGTCACAGGAAATAAGAAAAAACTGGGATTAGAAAACCGTTTATTAAGTTCTGGCAGAGGATTAGAGCTGTTATCAATTTCTGCTACCACTTTGTTACCAATATTAATGAAAAATTCATTAAAAAAATTTGCTTTATCTTTGTCATTTTTAATGAGTTTATTGTCCTTACACTGAAAAAAGGATTTATTTGGACTAAATAAATATCGTTTGCCATGAACTAATCCTAGTTTTGGATATTGCCTAGCATATATATATTGTGAAAAGTAACTAATAATAAGTTCATAGTTTTGTAATAAATCTTATTTGAATGTTAATTTATTTTTACTGTAATATTAGATTTCGCTTCTTTATTATTAATCTACATATTTTAAGATGTAGATGACATAAGATTATTAGAAATATATCTTAGCTTAATGTGAACTAACAGTTTTTCAGTGAAAATAGGTTATTTTAATATTAATAAATGAATGGTTTATAAAAAGTGAATTGTTTTTTTCGCTAAAATTGGACGTATTTCTTTCTTGATTAGTCTCAAAATTATGTACTTTCTCAAATTTAATTAAACTGATAATTAGATAACTTATCTAACTA